AATTATTCTTGAAAGAAAATAAATAAATTAATTAAATTATTAGTTTCAAATTCTATCGCTAACAAAGACCTTATTAAGAATAAAAATGTTGTGGATGTTTAATAACTATTGTTATAATTTATTAGTTAAAAAAAAAGAAAAAAAAAAGAAAAAGGAGGAATCTGATTCGGTGGCAGTATGTGCCACATGCAAGCTTGCATGTAAGCTTGGTAACTTCCATCCCATTATCATTCTTGGGTTAAGGAGAAGTGTAGTGGGGAGTATAATGAGAAAGAGAAAAAGAGAGAGAGAGAGTGGGGGAGCTCAGCATATATACACCATGAATGGCTGAGCAAAATCCCATGCAAAGAGAGGGGGTGAAATTTTTTTAAAAAAAAAAAAAAAAAAAAAAAAATCTCAGCTAACAGTAGAAGGAGAAGAAGAGAGGAAGGTTAAAGAAGCAAAAATTTTCTACCATTTTATCAACCATTTGAATCCTACTATTAGGTAAGAAAAAACTCTCAATCCTCTCATTTTTTTTACATAATTGAAATTTTCAGATTGTGTACATATGATGCATTGTCTAAATTGTGTTGAAGATAATCTATGTTAAATCTGCCAGCATGTTGCCTGAATTTTTAGACAATTTTATACTCAGAATTTCGAGATGATTTATTCTACAAAGTTGTTGATAATGATGTCTAGTTTATCCAGAAATTTTTATACAAATTTTTAACTAAATCTGAAACTGTGTTGAGAATAATCTGTTTTGAATCTGCCATCATGTTACCCGAATTTTTAGATAATTTTATACTCAAAATTTCGAGATGATTTCTTCTACAAAGTTGTTGATAATGATGTCTAGTTTATCCAAAAAAAATTGGTAACAATTTTTGAGCTTTCTACAAATTTATACAAATTTTTAACTAAATCTGAAACTGTGATGACGATTTACGCAAAATGTATTTGAAAATTTATTTAAAATTCTATACTAAGCCAAATCTGGTAATTTCTAACTAAAAAATGAAATTTGAGAAGTCTAGTTTCATGAATAAAATTTTAGATTATGGGTTTGATCTATAAATTTAAGCATGGAATTAATGTAAGGAAATGTGACAAATCTGTGTCATAAACCCTTTGGAATTTTGTTTAGAATTATTTATAAGTTATTTTTGGAAAATGCTTTCTGAAAAATAACCATAACATGTTTATTGAGTATCCTGTAGATTGATATGAATTTTAGAGTTGTAATAAGTAATGTATTTATAATTTATTTGCAAGATATATACTTTGGAAATTTTTCTGGACAGGATAAAATGACCACTTTAATATTATGCTAGTCTAATTTTGTAAATCAAAAATTTGTGCATGTGTGTATTTATGGTTTAATTCTTGTATCTAAGTTATTATTTCATACCATGGTTTAAATAAATTGTTTATTTAAATTCTGTCCTTTTATTTAGTATTGTGTGACCCATGCAATATTTTATGATTGGGAGTTTTAATGAGTTGGTATAACATTATTTGTGATTAAAAATTTGGAATTGTTTGTGATTAATATCAAAATTAACTGAAATGATTAACGGCATATACAAAGTTAATAATTGACGGTTAATACCAGTTGTTCGGGGTGAGTCTTGGTTTAAAGACTGTACGGAATTAAGGGTTGACGGTTAACACCGGTTGTTCAGGGTGGGCCCTGGTTTTGAGAATTCTCACGTAAATTGTGTTGCGAAACTCTAAGATGGCACGGGACTTATTTGAACCCTTTTCGGTATTCGGTTTTGGAATAAGGGTGGATGTGCAGGTGGCACACAGGGAGGTTACTTACCCCTGGCAGACTGTTTCCTTGGGGCAGACCACGGATGCCACTACTTGGGTATATAACTCCGGACGTGGGCATCCCTGGTAGTTACGGTTGGTAACACTTAAATATTTGACCAAGGGAGGGTTTCAAATTAACCGTTGCCATGCTTAGTGTTTGGTGAGTTAAATCTCTTTGGTGAGATTTCGAGTGTCACCTAATTTATTAAAATTACTGAAACTATTCTAATGGTTGTAATTTCTGTGTATAATTATATTGTTATCTCATGTTTAGAATATTATTATTTGTCTCTTAAAAAGAATGGTAGGTTGGTTACGTTTTCTTACTGTGTTGCAAAACTCATGGCATATATTTTGTTGCCCTGGCGTTTCATACCAGATTATGTTGAAGAATGGACTGAGGCTGAAATTGGAGCTGCTGCCAATATCGAACCTTGGCTGACTTAGAGTCAAGATTTTATCGAAATAAAATCCTGTTATCCCTTGTATTAGGATTTAACAATATTGTGACGTTGGGTGTGAATTTGTAGTTTTATTTTGTTGTTGGACCTTGACTATGTAAGAACTTAAAAGTTCCTAATTAGTAGTTAAAACTTTATCTAGCAATTTATCGTTATTTAAATCTTATGACGTTTCAAAAAAAAAATTCGGGGCGTCACACAATAAGTTACACCACTCAAGCGTAAGAAGTATCGCTCAAGCGGAGAATACCATCTTCCAAAAGTTTTGCATACAGAAGACCACCGCTTGAGCTCAAAAAAGGCAACTCGAGCCAACACATCTTGTGCAAAAAGTGTCACTTGAGTGAAAAACACCACCTTCCAGTATCTCTGTAGGCCTGCAAAGGTACTGAGAGTTCTCAAGGAGCGCTCAAGCGCAAGAAGCTTCGCTTAAGCGAAGATGCAAAATTATAGGCAACACAGTTTTGAAACACAAACTACTAACTTGTTCCAAACGCAATCAAGACATTCCAATAACCAAACTCAATAAGAAATAGGAAAGAATAAGACATGAACAACCATATGAGACAATGAAACCGGATCCAAGCATCAATGGTTCGGGTCTAAACTAGAATCGCTATACTTAATGTATGTCATCTATGAAAAAAATTATGTCAGTCTGACAATCATAACATTTTCATTTTATCATATCTGTTTGTAAAAAATGAATAGTCTATTTTCAAAAATATATTTATCATCTATTTTTTCAAAGATAAATGTAATAAAATGAAAATATTACGATCATCATATCAAACTAATTTTTTCATAAATAATATAATAAATTGAAAATTTTACAAAATGAATAGTTCGGATTATTGTCTGTGAGGCCAGACCGCTCAAATTCTCCCATATTAGAGAAACCAAACCAAAGTTTAAATTAACAGGTTAACAGAAAGTGAATGATAGATATAGACAAGTGTGATTTTTTTGGGGGTAAATTATGCTTTGCCCTATTTATATTTGGTCACTTTTTCATTTTGGTCGTTAATATTTATTTTTTTGCACTTTGGCCTTCAATTTGTTTCTTACCTTACTCGTAAAGTTAATTTCTGTTAAAAATTAGACAGAAAATGACACATTAATAGTCTCGTAGCATAAAAATATTTGATTATATATGATTCACACATCTGACATAAATTTAATAACTAATATAATAATATATTTTTATATTATGTGACAGTTATTGTTGTATTTTCTATTTAATTTTTAATAGAAATTAATTTTAGGATTAAAATAAAAAAATTCAAAAATAAAGTATTCAATTGAGGAAAAAATAAACTTAAAGAATTAAAACTTTAAGAACCAAAGTGAGAAAGTTGCCAAAAAAAAAAAAGAAAAAGGAAGATAAAATATCAGTATCCCCTTTTTTATATCTATTTATTCTATTATATAAAGAGAGGTCTTAAAAATATAAAATTATATTATGAGGGACTAAGATTTGATTAACATTGGCGGTGTTTGGAACTTGGTTTTTAGATTTTTTTATTTTTTATTTTTTCACTAAAAGACAAATTGATTACAAAATTAAAAAAAAAAAAAAAACAAATCCAAACAATATATCACGTCAAATCCCATAATCATTTCATTTTTTCTTTTACAAACATCACATTCAACTATAAAAAAAACCAAACTATCTTTCCAAATACAAAAAATTTGTTCTCCAAGAATATCCTATAATTAAAAAAACCTACAAAAAAAATTCACTTTCCAAACACCCACATTATTACCACTTGAATAACACATTATATATGCAATTTTTTATTATTATCATTATTCTTGTAATATTACTTAATATAAATTATAATTTAAGATTTTGCATGTGTAACCTAACATTGGGTTGATTTGGAATGAGATAAAAAAAATCAATTTATTAAAGCTCGTTTGGGGAGTGAGTTGATTTTTTGATTATTTTAATTTGAGGCTAAAAAATTTCTTCTGGAATGGATTTTTTGACTTTTTTGAGAGAAAAAATATAATAATTAAGAGTTTGATGTGATATTTTATCTTATTATGCTAAAAAGCCTATTTTATTTTTTTTGTGACTATTTAAAAAAAAAAAAATGAGGTTTTTTCTTTCCAAACAGAGGCGTTGTTTGAGGTGTCATAAATAAGTACACTTTTTGTCTTTTTGGACTAAAAAGTTGAGGAAAAAAATATAAATGTTTGGGTTAACTTTTTGACTTTTTACGAAAAAATGTGTATTAAAAAATGTATAAGAGAAGTTATTGATAGATCCTACAGCAGTCTGGTAGAGCATTGGCAGATTAGGAAATAAGAAATTATTACCTCCTTCTCGGGCTTAAATTGGCGGTGTTGTCTGGCCCTTGGGGGCCCACCACGAGTCACGTTTTGCTAATCAGAACCGTTGAATGTGTAGAACTCATCGAGTACTATATTCTTGTAAAAAATCATGTTGATCGGATATCGATAGTTATCTGATCGTGTTAATTTTTTGTCAACCGTTAATTATAATACCATCTATTTTTTATGCAAAACTAATTTGATCATATAGTTAGGGATATCCGATTAATGTGATTTTTTATAGACATATAGTACTCGACGAGTTCTACACATTTAACGGTTCGAATTATCAAAAAGAAACCTGTGATGGCCCTCACTGGCCCAATATTACCCTCCAATTTAATGAATAGATATACCTAATTTTTTTTACCCCATTGATAGCCCAATAAACTGCACCGCAAATGTCGGTGTCCATGTGGTATACAAGGAAGCTGAAGAACAAGCATTGAGTAGTATATACTACAACTCCGAAGAAGATGATCAAAGAAGACCACCTCAACAACCTCAACAGCAAAAGGCTTAGGTAAGTATATGTCTCTTACATTTACAACTCAGTTACAGTTTCTTCCAAATAAGAAAATGCCTTCCAGCTCACACTCCCACTGCAAATTATAAATAAAATTATAATAGACATAACCCATTACATTTCAAATTACTCAAAATTGATCCAATTTCTAACGTACTGTCTATTATTTACTTATGGTTTTCTAATTTACGTGCACTCTGTATCACCTTTTTTCTTGAGTTTTTAGTTTTGTCTATTTGATTTGGTCCCTATACATATATGACTAAGGTGAAGCATGGCCTTATAGTGTTTAGGGGTGAAATTAATAAATTGAAATTTTGGGACCAAAATGACACTTTAGGGAGATATTCGGTTAATGGTTTGGAGGACCATTTAAAATTGAACCGATTTGACTTGGATTGAAAATTTTATAGATGAAATTGACAAAATTGAAACTTGAAGTACTAAAGTAACATGGTAAACATACCTTATTGAGAATTTCCCTTTTGTAGACCAACAATTTTTCTTCAATGCTAAACTTTAGGGTATGTTTGGATGACATTACTAGGATTAAAAATCACATGTCAATGTTCTTCAAGTGTTTTGTTTGACTAGGAATTATGTACGAGAGGATTATGAAATTTTAATTATTATGGGCCCATTTATTTATTTAGTCTTCAGATTGTTTACATGATCAGTAATGCTAGGAACACAGAAACCAAACACAGAATGTGACACAAGGGGTGTGGGACTCACTCCTTGTGAGAAGGTTGTGTGCACGTAGACTTATTGCTTCTCCTAATTATGCATTGCTTATATATATATATATATATATTCCTCTTGCTTTGTAGTGCTTTTATGGTTTTTTTTCTCTTTTTCTTTTCCCTTCCTTTTTATGGTTTGAGATTTTATTTATTTTTTTGTTCTTTTGTTTCTTGGAGTTCTTTGAGGAGGCTTCCTAAATTGAAATTAATTATGTCTTGTGTGACACCACAATGATGACAGACAAGCACATTTTTTAACTCCTTTTTGCGACTTGCAACTCAATTTTTATTTTCATTTTTTTCAGACTTACAATATAAAGAGAATTACATCTAGACAATTATAGTCCACTAATTTTAGAACTTCAACAACTAGCATGATAAATAGTGCTATAATGGTGAAGCAACACCAACCCAATAATCAATCAACCTAAGAAAGGGTCCTGTAAAGAGGAAGAAATGAATTCTACAATAAAGAGTCCCCATAATGAAGATGAAATTATCAATCCTTGAACTCCTTTTGAGACTTGCAAATCAAACTTGATAGTACTATTATGCAAGATCGTTTAGGGGGCTTACTACTATTATCAACGTTTCCAACTAACCCAGATTGTCAGTAGCAGCCTATGAATTTTTAAACAAGCTTTTCAATTTTTCTATTCCAGTGATCATCTTCCAAACGTTTTCTTTTGAACTAGTCAATTAAATTTGAAGGTTTTTTGTTTTTTGTTTTTTTATTCAAACTTTACAATGGTGAATGATGATTCCATTTTCCAACATTTTTTTTTGATTGAATAAAACGTGAGGGTGGATGTTATGATGGAATGACCATTCCATTCCACATTCATTTCAATGAACCAAACAATGTCTGAATTATTTATAATAGGTATCTGCCTTTCTTGCATCATATGTAATATATGCCCATTCATGATTCCATAATTCAAGTCATTAATTTACTGAGATATGTAAAACTCATCCATTTACTTCTCTTCTATTTTATGTTTCAGGTTGAATTCTGATTGAGATTCATGGATATTTTTGTGAATATTTGCAAAAGGAAGACTTTGCCTCATTATCTCATACAATTGAAGACTGTATAAATAGATTTGAAGGCATGTAAACTTTATTGGGATGTGTTTCTCGAGTAATGATGCTCCTTTCCAAGCAACTTTCTTGTGGGGGGACACAGAGTTAAAAAAAGAAATGTTCATATGTTCAATTGGAAGGAGGTGTCTACAAGCAAGGAACAAGGTGGGCTTTGGTTAGAAGAATTAGAGATGTAAATGATTGTTTGCTGGTGAAGTGGTGGAGGAGATTTGGATCTGAAGACAATGCTTTATGGAAACGTTTGATTTGCAGCATTTACAGAGTTGAGAGAGGTAGATGGTTCCCATCTTATAGAGCTAATTCTTCTTTTTCAAGGATTTGGAGTGGTATTATTTCTATTGCTTTTTCCAATCCTAATTTACTCTACTTTTTTTTCTTGCCAATACTGATGTGGTAGGTGATGGGAACAGAATTCGCTTCTGGATTGATAAATGGCTTGGCAATGTTAGCCTTAAAGATGAGTTTCCTAGACTTTTTAGCCTTTCAACAGATAAGGAGTGATCCTTGAGGATGTTTATCCAGAGGAAAGAGCTCAGGCAAATGGAATCTATGCTTTAGAAGATCTCGCTTTGGTTGGGAGCATAAGGGGGTGGTCAGAATTTATGGATTGCTGTGTGCAGCTCCATCGCTTAGAGTTGGTTTTGCTGATCACATTAGATGGGCTGCCTCATCCTCAGGTCAGTTCATGGTGCATTCAGTCTTTATGTGGTGTGAGTCTGCCCCTGGTTTGAATGTCTCTTGTCCTGGGATGGTATTGCATAATGTCATTCCTCATAAAGCTCAATTTTTTTGCTTGAATAGCATGCAAAGGAAGAATTAAGACTTCAGAGTTTTGCAAAGAATTGGTGTAGGGGTGTGCTGATTTTGAATGCTAACATTGCCTGTGTGTTTTGTAATTCTGATGCTGAAACTCTGAATCATATTCTGCTTTTCTGCCCTTTTGTTTGGAAAGTTTGGTCTGAAATGATCAGTTGGTGTTCGTTTCATTGGGTAATACTAGCGTCAACGGAAGGCTTACCACAATGGTGGCTGGGTTCAAGTTCAGTAAGTTGGAATTGTATATTTGGAACGCTGTTCCTATAGCAGTATTTGGTCTGTTTGGAAGCATAGAAATGATTGCATCTTTAATGGCCATTAACCGAATTTGGGTGAACTGTGTGAGCTTGTAAAAGTAAGAGTAGCTTTATGGGTGAAGTTTCAATGATTTGATATATTCTTCTCAGTGAACACCTTAAAGTAAGAGTAGATTTGAGTTGGGTCTTTTGATATTAGGGACTAGTGGGACTAGTTTTTCTTGCTTTGATATTCTTCTGGAGGTATAAATTCGTCAGAACACCTTAAAAAGACCAAACAATCTTTCAAAACTTCTCTTCTAATATTTGTCAGGTACTTTTTTTTTATAATAAAAAAACAAAAACAAAAACAAAAATCTTTACCTGACAATAAAGGTATGCCCATGTATTGTGCATGACAGCTTTGTTTCATTTGTCCAATTCATTAAAAATAAAAACTAAAATAGCTATAAATTGACAGTTTTCATTAATGACAATCAGGTTGTACTGATGCTTTCAAAAATGGGATCTTGTTCGATGGATGTTTTTAGAAGGGTAAGACTGCAATTCTTTATTCGTCACGGTACATTCCCCTATGGATGAACTGCATGATGGCCTTCTTAGTTAACTAGCTCTTGAAAAGTTTTATGGCTGGAGACCTTGTCTCTTATGAAGATCTCTGAGTTTTATATTAGGTTTTAAGATGTATTAGATAAATATAATTAAACTGCTTGCTACCTTAAAGTAAGAGTAGCTTTGAGTTGCATCCTTTGATATTAGAGACTGGAGGGACTAGTTTTCTTGCTTGATATTCTTCTATTGATTTAAATTCGTCAGAACACCTGAAAAAGACCAAATAATCTTTCAAAACCTCTCTTCTAATATATATCAGGTACTTTTTTTTTTTTTTTGTAAATTAAAAACAAAAATCTTTACCTCGCAATAGAAGTATGCCCAAGTACTGTGCATGATTGCTTTGTTTCATTTGTCTAGTTCATTAAAAATAAAAACTGAAATACATTTAATTTGACGGTTTTCGTTAATGACAATCAGGTTGCACTGATGCTTTCAGGACTGGGATCTTCTTAGGTGGATGTTCTTAGAATGGTAAGACTGCAATTCTTTATTGGATGCTGTACATTCGCCCTTCGGATGAACTGAATGATGGCCTTCTTAGTTAACTAGCTCTTGGAAAGTTTTCTGGCAGGAGACCTTTCATGAAGATCTCTGAGATTTATATATTAGGTTTTAAGAAGATCTATTAGATGAATATAATTAAACTGCTAGCATACTTAAATATTTTCATTATTAGTATATTTGATTTCTATTTTTCATCAAATTATTCCAAATGTGGCAGGCAACCTCTTAGTTAACTAGCTCTTAGTTAGTACATTCGCCCTTCGGATATGGCCTTCTTAGTTAACTAGCTCTTGGAAAGTTTTCTAGCAGGAGACCTTTCATGAAGATCTCTGAGATTTATATTAGGTTTTAAGAAGATCTATTAGATGAATATAATTAAACTGCTAGCATACTTAAATATTTTCAGTATTAGTATATTTGATTTCTATTTTTCATCAAATTATTCCAAATGTGGCAGGCAACCTCTTGATGGGAAAAGAGACAAGCGAAAATCTTCATAAGAACTTTGATATATTTTTTTTATTCTTTTTCTACTTTGTTCATTTTCTTTTCCATTCCTTTCCTTCTATATTTTTTATTTTTTTGTCGGTTTTTCTGTATTGTACTTCAGCTATTATTTCGTGTCTCAATATTTTGCATTAGTTTTTTTGTTTTTGGCTTATTATAAAAACCTTTTCTTGTTATCTTATTTATTCATTAGCAAAGCATGGTTAAGCTACATTGCTTAGAATTTCATATGTCAATTTGAATAACCTTTTGTCCCCAGAAAATGCCATTAGCTTTTTTTAGTAATTAGGCCATCTATCGGATACTTGCGGCTGTAACATATAAGTTCTGTTAAATCACTCAAAGTTCCTAGCATAAGGATACTTTTCTACACCTCTGGATATAGGGCACAGTCATGGTGCTAAATCTACTGATCTGTATGACTTAGCTTCTATTTGGTCAATCAATGTGATCGATATATCATGTTCGACTACAAAATGTGGACAACAATTAAAAGATTCCCAAGATAAAAGAACAAAGCCAATGAAACTATTTCATACTGAACTACAAATCAAAAGGAAGAGCATAGAAGTGTGTAATTCGAGAAATGAGAACTGCTCTTTCAAAAAATTCAAGAAATAAGAACCATGTTCCAGGAGCTTGGCCCAAGTTGTTTGATAACAGAGTAAATAGAAACAATTTTTGTATTAAGGAAGCAAATTCTAAATAAACCACAAACACGGAATGGCAATAGAGTGATGTCATGCCAGTTGAGACACATATTCCATACCTACGATTTTCTTTATGGTTTGGCCTTGGATATATTGTCTATAGCAATTTCATCTTGTAATGCTGCTCATATTTGTAATCACTGGGTGTAGTTGTTATATTCATTGATTTCTGTTATTATTACTGAAATTAGTGTTAGGTTTGACAAATGGCTTATACATTGTGTCCAGGAGAAAGCTAAAGTGAGGATGATGAAGCAGAATGCTTCTGATCAAACCGAATCATATTGGAACAATCTCTGGGGCAAACCCAGAGGCCATCAAAGTACAGGTATCAATAAAGAAAATTGCTAATTTATTAGTCCCGATGTTTAAAATTATGGAAAGGGTTCCCTGTAGCATTCTACTTATTATTCTGATATAAATATTTTGTCAAGAACAGATGTCTGATTTGAAGGATTGAGCCTAATGAAAGCTTCCCTGTAAATATTGGGGAAAGGCTTAATTGTTACGGGTTTTTTTGAGTGAGAAGGTAGAAGTTGATGTTTAGAGTAGCTTTATGCTTGAATTTGGCCTAGTTTAGGATAGATAGTAGCAAGGTTAATGTGGTATGGTTTATTTTCTAAGAAGCACAGCACCACACTCCAAGATTGGTGTTTTGTCAATGTTTGATAGACAGGACACGGGTGTCAATGTGTTCAACATGCCACATGGCGTTCAATTTTTTAATCTTTTTTGTAGAATATGCCGGGGACTTTTTATAGACACTCGTGTCTTGTGATTGGACACTCTTTAGGACACCTTTATTGTCTTTATTGTTTTTTTTTTTTTTTTTGACTAAATAATTTTAGGAAGCTGATTTGGTGCCAAAGTAAATTATATTGAAATAAAGAGAGAAAAGGTAGGGGGGAAGAAAAAAACACCCACATTTGCCTCTCATATCTATGTATCCTAAATTTTCTATTAAAATAAATATTATATAAAAATATATATATTTCTTGCCGTATTCCCGCCTCATTCGTACCATAATTTTTTGAGAATCATGGTGTCCCGTGTCCGTGACTATGCTTTATAGCTTCCGCACATAGTATTGTCACCAGTTTTAGCATTTGTAAAGATCCAAAGAGGCTAGAACTCGAGGCACTTGAATCTTTAGTGTTCATTGGAAATAGTAGGAAAAAAAAATTGAAATTGTAAATGTGCTACACTAGTGCATTTAGTAGAATAGAAATAAATTTTCGCTCCTTGAATGCTTATTATTGTGGTGACTATAGTAAATTATGTTGATGGTTGAATGGTTTCTGCGTTAATACAATCACATATACGACAGAAATTGCCTCACAATGTGGCCAACACTTTTTACTTTAAAAGTTTATGTGGTGGTTGCAGAGGAGGAAGCAAAAAGAGAGAACGAAGAGCTGCAGCAGAATCTTGAAGATGAAGAGGGTACTCAAGAAGGGGTGTTGGTAAACCTCCCACCTTTAAACTTCTCGAGGCTGTGCTAAACAACGAAAAATAACCAGTAAATTCTGATCTTCTTGATTTTCTATTGTTAGATGTAATTCATGTATTCAAAATTTATTTATTGAAGACATGTACAATAATATTTAGATTTTATGTAAGATGCGTAAAGTTCATATTGATCACACTGACTGTGTAACTGGGATTAGTTTAATTGCAGTGAAATTAGTAAATAATAAAAAATATGAAATATAGTACTAGTATGCTATTCTGTGGCATGTTCTTGCATGAATGAGTTATATTTATTTGGTTCTTGTTCGACCCTTTGTTTGGTTGTTGAGAGAAAACTTTGTTAAAGAGAAGAAAATAGAAGTTTACTGCTTTTAATATATAACAGTGTCTGAAAAGATGAAATATGAACCGAGTGAATCAATTCCAAGAACTGCTCTCTATTAGGGGACTGTTTTGGCTGTTTTCATTTTTTTTGTTTTCATATGTCAATGTAGTCTGTCAATAAATAGATGTGGGTAAAACCATTGTGTACTTCCTAATTTATTTAATTTTAAGATTTAAACCAAGAAAATGATAATTTAAATGTGAGAAAAAAAAAATGCAGGGTGAAAATGATAGCAGTTTCAAGTGAAATTATTTATTTTTTAAGATGGAATAATAATTTTCCTTAAATGGGTAAAATGATTATTTAAATGTGAGGAAAAAATGATTTTTGCTTTTCATATTTTTTTCTTATTTATTAATAATTTAGAAAAAGAAAAAAAAATACTGTTTTTCAATTTTTTTCTTTTAGTTATCTATTTTCTATCCATAAATCTCTTTCCAAATTTCTGAACACAACTTATGTGACAGTTTAATGAAACCTTTATGGGTAAATTACACGAACACCTTCTGAAATTTATGTTTATTACAGTTTCTTCCTCACATTTGAAAAATTACACTGACCCCCCTTGTTAGTGTAATTATTTGACGGTATTAACTTTTAAGTTAAAATGACATATTTACCCATAACCTTTACATATATTTCAAAGGGTAAATTACATTGACACCCCTGAGATTTCAATTTAATATGGATTCCCCCTGATATTTAAAAAAAAAACTAATTTAATAAAAATAAATATGAAGAAATATGTTTAATTTGTAAAAAATTATTTCTAACCACTCGAAAGATAAAAACTATATAAAAATGATAATTATTTTTTATATTTTATTTCTTAACCAAATTAATTTTTAATTTTTTTAAAAAAATCTAAAAATCAAACTATACATTGCCTAAGAATCTTTTGATATAAGTCATTTCTTACATTGGTAACTTATTTAATTATTTATTAATTTTACGACATTTTTACCATCTGAGACCTGTTTGGTAACCATTTCGTTTTTAGTTTTCAATTTATATTTATAAAAATTTAAAAAAACTGTCATAAAAACTTGTTTGATAATTTTTTTGGTTTATAAATGGTTGTCTCAGTTTGTAAATTTGAGGAAAAAACGTAAATTCAAAAAATGAGTTTACGTTGGTTTTTAAATAGAAATTTAAAATTTTGAATAACAATTTTTTTTCAATTAATTTTTTTTTAAATAATTTTTTTCCAATTAATTTTTTTTTTCAACTAATACTAATCAAAGGGGCAATTGGTAATGCTACTTTAAACCTTGGGGAGGGGATTGTAATTTTTAAAATATGAGGGGGTGTCAATGTAATTTACCCAGTAAGGGCAAAATTGGTATTTAAAAAAATTAAATTACTGACATCAGTAAAATCTGTCAGTTGACTTAACAGTCAACCAACTGAGAGAATAATCTATAATGAAACTTTAAACCTCAGGGAGGGGAATATAATTTCCAAAAGGTGAAGGAGGGACGGTAATAAATATAAACCTCAGGGGGTGTCAATGTAATTTACCCAACCTTTTATTGAAGGCTAATTTTGGAAAAATGGCTAAAATTCAAAAGTTAATTTTGAACTTATTTTGGATTATATCACCCTCTTTATTTTTTTACACGCTTTTTTAAAAAAAGTAAAAAAGAAATGGTCATTATTTTTGTACACATTTTTTTTTATAAAAAAAAGGTCAAAAAAATTAATTTTTAATCATCTTTCCAAATTAGTCCTCAATGTGATAGTTTTTGAATATAAGGAACATTACTTAAAAAAATAAAAAAAAAAGGCGACAGTTTATAAAAGTTCATAGTTTTTGAATATGATAAAATAGATATATTTACTGTATTTGGTTTTAATTTTTTGAATTTAGTTTTTTAAAAATTGAGTTTTTTATTTTTCGTATTTTTTATTTTTAGTGAATATTTTTTAAATTTTACACAATTTTTTTTATTTTTTTAAATGCACTTTATTTAGATATATCTAAATAGTAAAATATTTGTGAAAACATATTTTTAAAAATTAATAAATACACAAAAGTACAAAAAAAAATGTCCTGAATTTTTTGTATTTTTCTTATTATATTTTTTTGGTATTTAGTGTATTTTTTTAAAAAAAAATCATAAATATTATATTTTTTAAGTGTATTTATGTTAGGTGTGTCTAAAAATTAAAAAAATTACTTAAAATATTTAAAAAATTCATTGAAAACATTAAAATATGAAAAATAAAAAAGTATAATTTTTTGAAAGCTCTTTTTTGAAAATCAGAATCAAATAAGTTGATTAATTAATTTTTTTTTGGTAAGTAGATATATTAATTTTACATTTTAGCACATTGATAAAAGAATAATTGTAATATCTAAAGACTGTTTGGCATGATGTAGTATAAACTGTCAAAAAAAAATATATTAAAAAATTAAAAAAATATTATTTTTTTATTTCCATGCAGAACGGCTGAAAAGCTGGCGAAAAGACGAAATTGCCCTTTTTTGCAAGCTGTCAGATGTCATGTGGAAGCTACTGAGCTCTGCTGCCAGCTGCTAAACCCTAAATAATAATAAAAATAAAGAAAATGAGTGAGATCACTTTTTTGGAAACTTCCACAATTTTAAAGTGATTCACACCACTTATGTATGTGTGGGTTCATTCATGTGTAAAACTTAGATCATGAGTATTGTGAATTACTTTGAAAATTGTGAGACCTCTTAAAAAAAAAAAAAAAAAGTCTCTATTATTATTGTAAAGATAAATAAATTTGTCTGATTTGATTTAATAGGACATGACATTAGGAGTTATGTTATGCTTTGCCAACCACATGAAAAACTTCTTATTTATTTTGGTTCATATTACTTTTTATATTTTTTTTATCTATAAAAAGATATAATAGGTTAAAAAAGTCAAAAAGTTAATTTTTTATTAACTTTTTAAAATACCACTAAATTATCTATCAAATTTTTTACAATAATGATAAAGACTCCTACAAAATACAACCCTCAGAACTTTTAAAATTATCTGAATCATTCATGTCACTGTCAGACATAACTCTCCAAAAAAATTCAAATTCATCAATGGTTAATACATCAGTAAGGATTATGAGAGTCCTCTTCCCACACATTTTCCAACTTTTTATTTGAGTATAAGATCACTCATATATGTGGGTTTGTATGGAATTCACGCAGATTTAAAAAAATTGATAAATTATTTGAGATCAATAACATTTCTCGTGACATTAGGAGTAAAATTTTAAATTTATTTATTATTTTATATTATAATTTTTCATAAAAAATAAAAAATTTATCTCAAACTTACAATTTATTTATTTATTATTTTAATAAAAAATTTAAAAATACACTTGCTTAAATT